GGAATGTTCGTGTGAAAGGGGCCTAAGATTGGCTGTGAGTGCTGATCAAATGTTATTAGAACTTCTGTAGAATAGACAGTTGTTCAAATGGACTTTACCAGTGTGTACCGAGCTTTAGCTTTGGTTTCTTGTCAGATATTTTCTTTCGGAATTGTCCTACACCATTAGCAAGGCAAGAAAAGGCTGAAGGCCTTCTCCTTGAGCTGTTGTGTTCTCCACTCTAATACACACTATAGTTCATTCTGTACAGGAATAACACGAAAATCTCTGGAGCTGTTGACCATGAGCAGCATTGACTGAACCTGGCCCTGTCACAGCTAGAATAGGGCTAACCTTCCGATTTTTGTCCTAAACAAAAGTGAAGACCCAGAAGAGGATCAAACCCTGACACATTCTTTCAGAAACTTATTTCTCTGCTTTACTTGGAGTTTTTTTTCTAATATCACTTTAATGGCAAGATTTCCTTTGTATCAGATTTAAACAATCATTGGGCAGAATGAAGGATTCAACCAAGTGCGCACATCAAAAGTGCTTTTTATCACTTTCAATGTTTTTTTTAGATATGAGTGGAAGTTTTGCAGTCAAAACTCCAGCCATTTATAACTCTAGTTTTTTTTTGTTTGTTTTGGAAAATTGGGGTAGATTGAAAGCTTTCACTTCAGTACTAGTTACCGCTGTCACTGAAACCAGAAATAAAGAGAATTTCGCCAGCAGGTATGCAGACAACAAAAAATCAAACCAAAAATGGAGAGTATGGGTCCAGTAAATCAAAATACGAACCATTATACTGGTAGATGTATGCTCCTTAAAATGTTACTCCATGTTTGCAACCAAACTGGGATAACACCTGTTTTATATTTGTTACATATTCCTATTTACACAGCATACCTTAAAGCATAGATATTTATTACCTTAAAGTAGTCGTAAAGTCCACTTTGTAAGTTGTACAGCTTATATTAAGGCTTACCTGTAGGTAAAGTGAATATCTCCTAAACGTGCACCATTTAGGAGATATTCACACAGCATGCAGCCAGTGAAGTCATGGGGCATGCGCTCTGAAGGGCTGGCACAGTATACTGGCCCTTCAGAACTCTGTGCCACAACCGAGGGCTCCCATGCATGCACGGGAGTGACGTCATCGCGGCTCTTGCAACTTGTACGGCCAGAGCCAGCAAGACTGGAAGGAAGACTGGGTGAAGGTGGCAATGCCGGGGAGTTGTGACCGCTCTACGCTGGAAGGCTCCGTGTATGGGTTAGTCTGTCATAATGTACTACTATGCGGTGCATAGTAGTACATTATGACCTAGCACTGCAAGGGGCCCATTATTTAGGATTTTTTGCGGGCGGTTTACTGCCTCTTTAATGTAGTCCCTGCATTAGGGTAAAACAAATGTCCCGCTAGGATTATCACCCTGAGTCCTATCTCGATCCAGCATTATGCTCATCTGCATTGGTGCTGGTATCTTTCTCTCTCTCTTTCTCCTCACAGGCACAGAGACAGTGGGAACCATTGGCTCTTGCTGCTGTCAATCAAGTCCTGTCAGTAGAGAATGGGGGGGGCGCGAACAAGACCCACTGTGTGTGTCAATGGATGTGCACAGCCTGGCTCAGGAGTGAGCCCGCATGTGTGCCATCATAGGAAGCAGCTTCCTGTGGTGGCACACAGAAAAGAGAAGCATCCAAGCGTGCCAATGGGGGACCCCAGAAGAGGAGGTTTTGGGCTGCTCTATGCACTTTAAAAATGTATTTAAAGATTACTGCTTACATCTTTACATTTTCTCTTCTGAAAACTCCAAAACTGAACATTCCTTTTGCACATCACGGGGAAGAGAAGAGGAGAGCTAAGATTGGGCCTGGGGATTTGGGTACAGTATATACAGTATGTATAATTAAAATTGTCATTACTGTGCTGGCAGATCTTATTTTAGTTGTAAACTAGATATGTACAATATACAGTATGTCCTAACAAAGGGCTAAAGATATCAAAGCTTGGATTCTGCATAGCATGGTAATGCACTTGTAATCCAGCATGTCCCTAAATTTTCCCTAAATAACACAGTGCAAGTTATTCTGAACAATACAAGCAGACTACAGAGTACTGTATACAAATCTGCTCCAAAGAAACTGCTAAAAGGTAAGAATTTTTTTAAATGGTTTTAGATATGCTATGTAAATGGAAACACATAACAAACCTATAGTGGGGGTTTCTCAGTTTGGCTGCAAAGGTGGAAAGACACTTAAAACAAATAGCTTACCAAGTAAACATTATCCCAAACAGATGATTTAGGTAGGTTCAGTTTTGGTACCAAGTGCTCTGGAGTTACATAATGTGGTGACTGCTGTAAAGTCTTGTGATACGGAGACACATTAGCCTGCAGCTGCTTGCTCAGTACATATGGGTCCAATAATTAGGGGAACCTTGGAACAAATAGAACTTAGTTACTCAGTTCCAACATTAGGAGCAGATGTTTTCTGGTGTTTGTGAGCTGTGTATACTGCAAGCAGCTGGAAACATTCTGAATATTAAGTAAAAGTTATAGAAATAACAGATAACTATATCAAGGTATTTTCAAGGCAGTGTGTTAAAATGTGTATTTATATAGTATTTGTGAGTGTGTGTATATGATTTTCATCACAGAAAGGGGAACACTGGACGATCTCTGGACATAAAATACAGACTTATAAACCTAATTCTTTGGGAAAAAATAAACAGTAATCCATAGCAATAAGTCAAAAGTAACTTCTTTGAAGTCAGATTAATGAAATATGGTTGCCATGGTTGATGTTCAATGCAACCAATGGTGTTCATGATTGTCCTTGGTTTAGGGTAGCTTTTCGATATGACTTGAAACTGGTTATAGTTGATGGAAAAATGAAAAACTCATAGCCAAATATAGGGCAGGTTTTGAGGAAAAACATGTTTTCGTGTGTAAGAATGCTGAGTCTAGGGCGGAGGTTCACCTTTCAAGAGAGCTGAGGCTGGAGAAGAGTTCACCTTCAAAGAGAGCTGAAGTTGGGGTCAAGGTTCACCTTTCAAGACAGATGAGGCTGGGACAGAGGTTCACCTCTTAAGAGAGCTGGGGCAGGGGTGGAGGCTCACCTTCAAAAAAAGCTGAGGCTGGGGTTGAGGTTCACCTTTCAAGGGAGCTGAGACTGGAGCCGAGGTTCACATTCCATGAGAGCTGAGGCTGGAGTCAAAGTTCACCTTTCAAAAGAGCAGAGGCTGGCACTGAGGTTCACCTTCCAAGAGCTGGGGCTGGGGCAAATGTTCACCTTCCAAGAGAGCTGAGGCTGGGTGGAGATTCACCTTCCAAGAGAATGGAGGCTGGGGCCGAAGTTCACCTTTCAAGAAAACTGAGGCTGACGTTCACCTTTCAAGAGAGCTGAGGCTGGGACTTAGGTTCATCTTTCAAGAGAGCTGAGGAAAGGGTTCGCCTTCCAAGAGACCTGAGACTGGGACCAAGGTTCACCCTCCAAGAGAGTTGAGGCTGGGGCTGAGGTTCACCTTTCAAGAGAGCTGAGGCAAGGGTTCACCTTCTAAGAGAGCTGAGGTTCACCTTTCAAGAGAGCTGAGGTTCACCTTTAAGAGAGCTGAGGCTGGGGCTGAGGCGCACCTTTCAAAAGAGATGAGGCTGGGGCTTAGGGAGGTTTACCTTTCCAGAGAGCTGAGGCTGTGGCTGAGGTTCACCTTGCAAGAGAGCTGAGGCTGGTGTCGAGGTTCACCTTTCAATAAAGCTGAGACTGGGGCTGAGGTTCACTTTCCAAGAGAAATGAGGCTGGGACCGAGGTTCACCTTCTAAGAGAGCTGAGGCTGGGGCCATGGTTTCACCTTCCAAGAGAGCTGAGGCTTGAGCCAAGGTTCACTGTCCAAGAAAACTGAAGCAGGTTCACCTTTGAAGAGAGCTAAGGCTAGGGTTAAGGCTCACCTTCCAAGAGTGCTGAAGTTGGGACTGAGATTCACCGTCAAAGAGAGATGAGGCTGGAGCAATAGTCTACCTTCCAAAAGGACAAAAACCAAGAACTGAACCTCTAATGACCAATGCAGCTTACAATCCATGATAAAGCTTGAACATTGCTGGTTACACCTAGCACCCATCTAGAAAAAAAAAACCCTGTATACATCCAACTCATTGTGATTGAAACTTACACAGAGCTACGGACTCTCTCCACCCCTCCACAGACCTGTGTTTGGATTGAAATTATGTGAACCTGTTTTTGCCCTGAATTGCAAAGCACGGGTTCACTTTCAAGAACATAGGGACTTGACCTCAAAATATCATGGAGAAAGTTCCAAACTAACCATGAAAAATATTATTTTGCTGGAAGAATAGTTGATGCTTGAAAAAAACACTTCCAGCACTGGAGCCTGCAGATCATTGCAGCGATGATCAGTGTAGTGCGGGTGCAGTGCGCAGGCTGCTGCAGACTGGTCCCCAAGTCCATATGAAGGTACAGATCTTCAGTTATAGGACTGGAGTAAGTAAGCACCTGTGCTCCATTGGGATTTAAGAGTGCTTTTACCATGGTGGCAAATGGGTCTTGTTGTCTTCCATTCACAGGTCCTGTAAAAGGATCTGTGAATGGATGACGTGGCTGTGGACAGAGCCATGGATAGCCTGGCTAAATTCAAAAGAAAACAGGTGTAGGCAAGGAAAGGAACCCCATGATTACAGTAAGGTGGAAAGATGGGTGCTGAGAGATGTGACCATATTTCATGTTATACCATAAATATGGGTGTGTAACATGAAACATGGTTAGAAAGGTGGACTATACTTTCAAACTTGATTGAAACAAACATGATAAATATGAAAAAAGGAGGAGGCATCTTTGATGGACCACTTAGTCTCTTTCTGTTGTCACTCATCTATATGTATATGGATAAAATGGGTGTTTCTCACTGTGCAGAACAAGAGAACTTTGACTTGTGTTCATCTCTCTCTCTCCTCTCTCTCTCTCTCTCTCTCTCTCTCTCTCTCTCTCTAGGCATTTCATTTTCCTCCATGGCATCGGACAGCGACTACGCCATTCCTCCTGACGCATATTCAATTGACAGTGAATTCTCAGAACCAGAACAGAAGCTTCCAAAAACCTGTTCCTCATCAAGTGACAATGGCAAAAATGTGAGCCATATGTGGAAAAAAATACTGGGCTGCTGCTTTTAATCAACATAGCATCCAACAGGCGTATTGCATTATAGCCAATGCTTTTATATACTGGATCGTTGTTGAAATTTATTTCATAAGGCACAGAATAATGCACTAGAGGGAACAAATTAATTTAGAATTGTATGTCCGCAGTTCCCATCCATTCAACTGCTGCTCACCCTACTCACCCACCCGAGGGCAAGTTGCCCACATCGTTCCTTCCACTCCTTTGAGCTGCATTTTAAATATCGTTGTTAATAAAATGTCTTTTACACCTGTAAACAAAGTAGAGTAGGGTAGGTGAGCTGTCCCTTTAAATAAACATTCTATGTGTAGTGTAAATTTGTATGTAAACCCTAAATCTATTAAGTCAAATATACTCAATCTATTAATTGAGTATATTTGACATCATGGGTCACCATATATGTTTTTGTGAATCAGTTGCAAAGCTTCTTACCTGGAGATCCTGCCAGTAAGCACTTCCTGCTGGAGACCAATAAAGCTAAACCACTGCATGTCAATTAGCAGCAACCATGCCAGCCTGCCACGTGCACTCCTGTTGGCCACTGAACTATCAGGTCTGCATATGCTACTTTGCATCTGATAGGCAGCCCAATGGCCAAGTGAAGAAGTGCACAAAGCAGGGTGACAACGCTGATGCCAATTGCGAAGTAGTGGTTTATTTTGTCTTTCTGCAACAGGAAGTGATGGGACTGGTAGAATCTCCATATGTCCAGTAAATCGACTGGCCTCGGGGTGATACACAGAGATGAAACAAATCCTCCCACATAAGTTGTGCCTGTTTATCTACAGTTCTCTTCTCTGAATCTATTCAAAGCTTCAAGAGGCAGGCGGCAGGGAGGTGAAGTTATACTCTGCAGAGATCTGTGAAAGCTGTTAAAAAAATCTGAAGAATATATTTAAAAAACAAATATTTTTAAAAATATTTTTTTTTAAAATATATTCTTCAGATTTTTTTAACATAAATAAGTCATTTTAACATATATTTTTACATATACTTGTAAATGCATTTCAAAAATGTAGATTTGTATTTTGGAAGACATACAGTATATTTGAAATGTATTTTTAAAAATATTTTTCATATATTTTGTAATAAAATTGCATTTCAACATACAGTATATGTATCACATGGGTATATATATATATATGATTTTTTTTTTTTTTTAAATATCTTGAATATGGCCAAAATTGTAGCATTTCAAATATATGTCAATATATTTGGGAAGAATATTTGTAAAATAAATTTCAAATATATTTTTCTTCCATGTGGGAATCCAAGCCCCTATAGAGGGGAAATGTGTTCTCAATGAATGTAGCGTGTCCAGAGGCCAATATTCACTATTTGGTAGTCATGGTAGTGTCCCAGTTGTCCCAGTAAATCATATACATTCATATATGACCAACAGTTGGAGATTTACTAATACCGGAGCACACCTAATCTGGTGAAGCTCTGCATAGAAACCAATCAGCTTCCAAGTTTTATTGTTAAAGCTTAATTGAACAAGCCGAAGTTAGAAGCGGATTGGTTACTATGCACAGCTCCACCAAATTTTGTGTGCACCAGTATTAAGTAGTAAAACTAGCATTAGTTTTAGTACAGTATATTAACTCCACAGGGTCTTATATGCTCTCCAATGTACAGAAGATACAAGACCATGACATTTAGTCACAAGAAGTAGAATATTATAGATCTCGGAGGCTGCCATTTCCATGCTGGGGATGTTTGGCACCAAGCGTCCATATTTTGTTGTGTCTTTCTAGAGTATTTATGAAAAAATGGGGGCTGATTGAATACAATAAAAAACATAATGAGAATATATCTCTAGAGGGTATCATCACCATTCATCTAAATGCAAAAAATGTATCTAATCTGTATGGGACTTTAAATATGATACCAGTGATGTACAACAACACAGCCAAAAACCATGAAAAATATGATTGTTTTATTACATGCAAAATTAAAACACACGTATTACCCACAGATATGGGGTAGTCAGACCTGTGTACAAATTCATAAACTGTACACTTGTAGAAAAACTCAATGTTCAAGGTTTGATTCAGTCTACGCGTTTCATGGGAGTTCAGCATTATCAGGACTGAAGATAGAAGTTTCATATAGAAATAGACAAGGAATAAAGATCCATATCCTACCACCTCAATCCCAAGAGACCCATAAATATAAAACCAGGTGTAGTGGTTGAGCTCCTACTCTATTCCCCAACCCGGCCTGTGGGTGGACATACATTTCTAAAAGGAAGGTGTATCAAAAATACATCTCAAAATTGCAAGGTCTGAACATCCACAAAGCTGTGTATATAACCAAGGTTATACATGCAAAAAAGGAATCTGTAAGTTCCAAGAAGGGATGTCTTAACAAAGGGTTGCTCCTTAATGGCCTAAAGCAAGTTCCTCCAATCTAGCTTTGTACCAACATCTGTGGTTAGTCACCCCTAAATGGAGAGTTTTTTCCAGAGTTTTCTTTATTCTTTTTATTACTTGTTTCATATTAAGTGCAATCAGGCATCTAGCAGTAGTAAGAATGTGAGATCAGCTTATTTATCAAATACGGAATCAATGGAAATGGGAGGCCTAATATGACATGGACAGGGTTAATCTTTAGGCCATGGAACCTAGGTATAACATCTCCGACCATGGACCAAAAGGGCCCAATATTAGGACAATCCCAGTATGTGGGAAATAAAGAAATTCCAGGATCTCCAGCATACTGAGTTGGAGGTTTTTTTCTTTTTTAAAGCACCATATCGGTGGCTTACTCTATGGAGTATATGGCAGATCCAATAGTTTACATGCTGCTAGAAACAATAGACTGACAATCACTGGCTCCTTCTGGTAGTACATCCAGCTTGTGACCTCTAATTCCCATATATGAAATATTTTTCTATTGGGTTGAACAGCACCCAAACATTCTTCAGACGTAGTTGCGTCCAGGAAGTCAGCAAATATCACTGTTAAGCTAAAGTGACCCACAGAATCATCTGTTTGCTGTTATCAGATTATCTTGTCTGTATTAATACTCAGTTCTGTGCTGCCATCTGTGTGCTTTTAGGCAGCAGATCGCCCAACATGCAGAATTAATTAGTGACATAAGAATTTCCATTTTTCTATCTGGAAAATATCTTCGGGTGGGGATAGAAATATGCAGGGGGCTGCAGAGGATAAGGAAAACAACTGTCATGGAGTTAAGATATGTACAGTATGTGTGGGTCATATAGGTATACAGCCATAGGCATGGAGCCTCAGATGTTTTGGGGGGAAGCTGAGTGCAAGGGTGGAACCATAGACATAGGCTTTGGTCAGAAACTAAACACATGGGATATGTGTAATGTAAAGGTGAACTCCAGGCAAGCAGCTCGATAAACAGAAGAAATGCATATATTATTATTATACAGGACTTATATAGCGCCGACAGTTTGCTCAGCGCTTTACATTATGGAGGGAGACAGTACAGTAACAATACAGTTCAATACAAGAGGGATTAGAGGGCCCTGATCCTTGGAGCTTACAATCTAGGAGGGAGGGTCTAGTGGTACAAAAGGTAATTAGCTGTGGGGGATCGAATGGTAGGAGGAGTAGTGGATTCCAGTATTAGCTGGGGGCGGGGTAGGCTTCCCTGAAGAGATGGGTTTTCAGAGTGCGCCTAAAGGTGAGCAGAGTAGGTGATAGCCTGATAGCTTGGGGTAGAGAGTTCCAGATGATGGGTGAAGCCCTTGAGAAATCCTGAAGACGAGCATGGGAGGAGGAAACAAGGGAGCTAGAGTGTAGGAGGTCTTGCGAGGAGCCATATAGGCAGCTTTTTTATCTGCCGAATGCTTTTCTGTCCATTCAGTTCTAAGAATTACATAGCTCTGCCACACAGCACAGTCCTGCCTGTTTTTTCTCTGCTGCAGTTTGGTGAGGGCTCGTTCACATTAGCTTTGATCTCTGAAAAGTGATTCATGTTTTGACAGGCAATAAGGGGCATTTTATTGGTTTCTCGGTGCCTTCTTTAACCCTATGAACCACACACTAGCATGCCACAACTAAATGCATTACACACTGTTGCAGCGTACCTGCAGATCATCCCCATTTACTTGAATGGGTTGCATATGGCAGGTGTTATGCAAAAGCAAAATGGGTTATAATTCCTGCTGCGGCATCAAAGCAAAGCATTGCAGCTGCAGCATGTGTATACTTTTGGACGTGGCTTTTGCAGCTAAAGGGGTAGTGGTTGGGTGCAGTGCTCAGCCGTGGGTTTTACCACCCCTTAACTGCTAGTGTGAATGAGCCCTAACACCCACAAGTCTTGTCTATTTCCCAGCCTGTGACTGAAAGGAGAAGCAGCAGACTAATCTGCTTATCTCGCTGTCACTCCACTCTTTCCTCCTATCAGCATGCACCTTGTTAGCAGACAAGTACTGCAGCACAACTGATTGGCTACTTGTGCTGTTTCTCCTTCACCCAGTCTGACCTCTGCTGTACATGGATTGCTTGCATTTAAAAAAAGTACCTTAACCCTGGGTTCACACTGATGCAGTGCGGAATTCGCAGCGTTTTCTACGCGAATTCCGCACCGCATTAGAATCGCACCCCGTTCATGTGAACCACTGCGGGTGTGTACGTTAAGTTAACAACACCCCAAAATCGGTCCGCAAAACACGGTGCAATGTGTAGAATCGGATCACATAGGTGTGAATACCCATGTGATCCGATTCTAGTACGAACCAAAGAAAGGGTCTGCACCTTTTTGGTGTGGGTGTGCGGGCGATTAGAGCCAAACAAAATATATGGCTCCAATCGCACTGCACACAAATCGCATGTCATTTCCACAGGAATGCGGTGCAGTTCCTTTGCAAATCACATGCAGTGTAACGAACCGCATATGTGTGACCCCGGGCTTAATGGCATTATAATGAGTACAGAGCCGCCTTAATGTGTGTGTTCTGTATCTGCTTTAATAATGCGTAACTTTTGTTTCTGTTTATCTTCGTATATTTCAGGAGCTCTTGGAAAAATCTGGATATTTGTTAAAAATGGGAGGCAAGCTTAAAACCTGGAAGCGAAGATGGTTTGTACTTAAAGGTGGAGAGCTGCTCTACTACAAATCTCCAGTGAGTAGCATAGCTTATGTCCATTGACATAGCAACTGATGCACTTTGTGTTAAACCCAACAAGGCCATACCTGCCAGTTTCACTCATCAGGATAAATAATGAATGAGCCTGACACAGCCAGGCAGCTAGCATTAAGAGAAATGGTTCACCAGTGGCCGCCTACATGTTTATCTTAGTACACAATTCTATTAAAACTAAAGCCAAATTCACAATTGAAATGAATCAATGAGAACTGTTTTGAATGTCAAAGGAACTGTAATTGTGTCCAACCAGACCTGTGATTTACACAGCCCTTTAAGCAGTGCTGGGCCAAGGGGTAGGTAGAGGGTGGCCATGTTGGGTGCATAATAAAGTATCTTCAGTCAGGTCCACCAGCCCAACATATTTTATGAGGCCAAATGCTCCCACCTGCTCCCCTGCCCATTTATTCCCTGCAACAATCTAATATCCTAAAGTCAACCATAGGTTGATCAAATCTTGGCCAGTTCAGCAGGGACCGGATGGGATTCACTCCATCTATGGACATGCTGGTTGTAGTGAAGTTGATCCATCAATTGACTTTAGTATAACCAGCCTGTCAGCTTTTTTTCATGTGATCATTACCGGCAACTATGGGAGTGATTCCCATGTCAACACTGACTGTGCTGATGGAAGAATTGAGCGATTTTCTTTCCTTCTACCAGTAGTGGAAAGAAAAAAAATTTCCATAATATAAGGGCTACTTTAACCACCCTGAGGACTTGTACTGGTGGGCTCAAGTCTACCTAGCTGCAATGGACACTTCAAGGAGTAATTACTTTTTTTTTTTCTTTCTGGCAACTAGGCATGAACCAGATTCAGTCCTAACCCAGAAGTTAGTTGCCATTGCTAGGGCAATGAGCTGTGGGCAAGATATTCCTTGCCCTGCAGCTGCATGTGTGTGAAGGAGTGGGGATGCTCATGACATCATTGACCTAATTCCGCTACAATGTCATTGTCCTAATATAGCCATATGCCCATATTAGGTCAATGATGTCACGAGCATCCCTCCCCTTTGTGCACCTCAGTGGTGTGGCGGGCAATCTGCTGCCTGCAACTTATTGGCCCAGTAATGACAGCTAACTTCTGGGTTCGAAATGAACTTGAGTATCACAAAGAATGCAAAAAAGGAACTGAGACTTCTAATGCACAGTTAGAAGGTCCAGTAAGCAAATCTTGTGCTTTGAATCCTTGAGACACATAAGAATCTGGGCACTGAATTACCATTTTGTATGATTTTAGATTATCTTATTTCTTTAGTAGATAGCATGGCACCCATCTGTTTTGTGTGCCATCTTGTTGTTTTACATGTTTAGAGTAATACCTGTTTTATAGCTGAACTTATTTTGTAAACTTAGCGCTAAAGTATTGGCATTTTCCCATGCAGAGTGATGTAATCCGCAAGCCTCAGGGTCAGATTGAATTAAACTCCTCCAGTCACATAGTGCGAGGTGATGGGAAGCAGACGGTGCAGGTAAATGACAAATCACATATAACATATTAATTTGTAAAGTGTTCTAATTCTTTTTTAGATGGAGATACCATATGGCAGCATTTATGCTCTCTGTTCCCAGCCACACACCTTACACATTGTATATACACATATAAGGTACAGTTCACAAAACACAAAGATAAGGCTCCCTAATTTACTCATATAGCTGCAATTTTCAATCCTTAAAGTGTTACTAAACCCAGGAGTTGCAGTCACTATATCTGGTCTCCCTGGACCCTGCAGTCACTATATCTGGTCTCCCCGGACCCTGCAGTCACTATATCTGGTCTCCCCGGACCCTGCATTCACTATATCTGGTCTCCCCAGACCCTGAATTCACTATATCTGGTCTCCCCAGACCCTGCAGTCACTATATCTTGTCTCCCCGGACCCTGCAGTCACTATATCTGGTCTCCCCGGACCCTGCATTCACTATATCTGGTCTCCCCAGACCCTGCATTCACTATATCTGGTCTCCCCAGACCCTGCATTCACTATATCTGGTCTCCCAGGACCCTGCATTCACTATATCTGGTCTCCCAGGACCCTGCAGTCACTATATCTGGTCTCCCCGGACCCTGCATTCACTATATCTGGTCTCCCGGGACCCTGCATTCACTATATCCGGTCTCCCTGGACCCTGCATTCACTATATCTGGTCTCCCAGGACCCTGCATTCACTATATCCGGTCTCCCTGGACCCTGCATTCACTATATCTGGTCTCCCAGGACCCTGCATTCACTGTATCTGTCTCCCCGGACCCTGCATTCACTATATCTGGTCTCCCAGGACCCTGCATTCACTATATCTGATCTCCCCGGACCCTGCATTCACTATATCTGGTCTCCCTGGACCCTGCATTCACTATATCTGGCCTCCCCAGACCCTGCAGTCACTATATCTGGTCTCCCCCGGACCCTGCATTCCCTATATCTGGTCTCCCTGGACCCCGCATTCACTATATCTGGTCTCCCCGGACCCTGCATTCACTCTGTCTGGCCTCCCACAGTACACGCAATGTGGAAATGCAATTATTTTAGTAAATATAAACTGCTAAATACCTTTTCTCATCAGCAGTATATAGAAGTCTTGTGACTTCTATGAGTGTCCAATCAAGCACTGGTTAATCTTGGGTGATTTTTCATTCTCCTCTGACTGTCCTATGAGGCTGCAAAACTCCCGACCCTCTGTCTGGACAGCGCTGATTGGCCCTGTGTACCCTTCCCCCCCCAAAAAAAACTTCAGCAATACACACCAAACAGAGCATATGCAGACTTGCCACTGCTGCTCCAACTAGAGCAAATGGATTGGAGACAGCAAAAGCAGATAAAAAAGATTTTACTGTTGAGGGTTTAGTAACACGTTGATGGACACTTTTTTTTCAAATGAATAGACTTAGCCTGGTGTGTTAGCTTTGTGAATTGAGACCATGTTTAAAAAATGTTTTTATTTAGTAATTCTGTTGAGCAATTACAAAACAGTGTCCAAAGGTACCAAGCCAGATCTCAATTGTCCATCACAATGATTGAACTTTTTTTTTTTTTATTGCTTCATTTTGTGTTACTGGAGAACCCCATATTACCATTTCTCCAATCTCAGTTCACTTTCATCTTGTTGTTGTAGTCCTGATTTGGTCTTGGTTATTTCCTCTTAACTGCATGGAGTTTGCATGTACTCCCTGTGTGTGTGTGTGTGTGTGTGTGGGTTTCTTCTAGGTACTGCTTGTCCGAAGACATGCTGGTAGATTAACTGGCTCGTGTCTAAATCACCCTAGGATGTGCATACATATTGACTATAAACAAGTTACATTCTGCATGCTAGTCCCAAGCTCAAGGAATTGGAGAAGGTTGCGGCAAGACCTTCTGACCTACCTCAAAAAAATGCCAAGAAAATACAGTAAAAAAGGCACGCAAGTGTATCGGACCTGTTGCCCAGATTGTCCCAAAAAAGAGTCCTATACGACTAAACAATATGTACATATCTACATTTCTTCATACCTTCCATTCATATGTCTTCATGATTTACAGTTTTTAAGGTCTCCACTTTTGAGGTGACTTTTTATTTTTTAAGATATTTTCCTTGGCCAACAATGCAAATGTGTTTTTAATGTTCTAAGGTGGCACACCATCCAACACCATTTAAGTTTTAGTTAGAGTGGGCAAAGGCTAGAACTTGTGTCGGGTTTTTATTACTCATAAAATTGGAAAAGCTAGCACCCCATAATGAGCCTCAGTTTATTGAGATCTCATCAAAACAGGTGATAAATAAAAAAACACATGTTCCTCCATCAGTGTTTTGGGCCTTTGAGAAAGTTGTCCAGTGAGGCACCTAAACGTTTTTTTTTTTTTGAGTCCTAATAAACAACTGATGCTCTTTTGGGGTGCTGGCTATTTCTATTTTGTGAGACACAGCATGGTATCACAGGTATCTGTGCATTTCCCATAAATGGCATTCAGGCTTAGGTGTTGGATGGATTTATTTCAACAGACTTGAGAAAGGGTCACGGCCGAAACACATTGTCATGGTGAAAGACCAGGCTCCATCTGGAGGGTTCTAGCTTGCATTCCATCCAAGGTCCTGGCTCCGACCAGTGGCACACCTCTCGAGGGTTGATGACATCACATTCGGCGTGCCACTTCTGGTGGCACACCTCTCGAGGGTTGATGACATCACATTCGGCTTGCCACTTCTGGTGAGTAGCTGTCTGCGAATGGGATCCTGGTTACATTGGAGATAGTCCGCACAGTCCATCTTTAGCGATCCCGACTCATAGGGAGTACACCACACTGCGGCCTTTGCACCACCATCGGCACACCGCTGTCATCTGCCGGACGAGTGTAAGATATTCTTTCCTGGATGGTTGCTACAGTCATGTATATTACAATTGAGACTAGTGACTTTGTTTCACTTAATCCCCCCCCCAGGGTGATATGTATAGAGGGCTATCAATTTTATTAATTAATAATCTTTGATGTTCTTTCAATTATAGACTGTTTTCACAGAGACTCATTCAGAAAGCACATCTCTAATTTTACATATTGACATTATCATTTGACTGTCTCCCAGCATTAGCGATTGGACTGTTTTTTTATGAATGGAGGAGCTGCAGGAGTTCAGCAGCCAGTTTCTACAGTGTCCCTTGTCCCACCACAGCTTGTGGCAGAGTGCGCAGCACTTGGACTTTGTGACATATGTTGGATGGATTTGTCTATTATCACCGTCTGAGTTCCCGTTAGTGAGATTTCACCATACTTCCTGTCCTGGTGATACTCAAGGCTTTTCGATACTCTAAATGTACTGTTTGTCTTCCTAAAAGTGTTTTTATATATTTTCCTATGTTGATTCATCTGATTCTCATGCTTCTTCTCTCAGCTGGTGACAGAGAAACGAACGTATTACCTGACGGCAGATTCTCCTAATATCTTGGATGAGTGGGTACGAGTGTTGCAAAATGTTCTCCGGGTCCAAACAGCCAGTGTGCTCTTCACGCAGCCAGATGTCAAGCCCACTGTGAAGGGGCTCCTCACAAAGGTCAGAAACTTATGAAAGAACTGATTAAGGAAGTTTTCTTAAAGGTCATATCCACTCTTGATTTTAAGGGAGGGAAATTATGTGAAATTATGAACAAAGAAACTTTGCTCCATTGTCCTAAGGTGTGGATTTGTTAACCCTTCTCCAAAACCTTCCATACCAAGCATGCACAATCCACAGGGGCGGACTGACCATTTGGAAACTCAGGCACTGACCGAGGGCCCGGGGTCAGTAGGGGGCCCAATAAGATGCCACTGGTACCTTTTTCATAGGCTTTTTTGAGTTTAGGCAAGGACACAGGGGCCCCATGATCCCCTATTGCCCGGGGCCCCATGAGTTGTCAGTCCACCCCTGACTATCCATGCATTGGTTGTGTCTAATTTCCAGTGGTCTCCTTAAAAAATAATTCTAGGTATGGATATATTTTACATAGCTACATTGCTCCAGCTTGGACCAATGTAACTACGTGTATACCATACATGGCCAGTGCCCCTGGAAGCTGGAAATCACTGAAGTATACATTGCTACTCCAGTGATCTCCACTTCCTTCCAGGTTCTGTTCTGAGTGGCTGGCCTGATGCATTGTGAATACAGGAGGTCGGCCACTTGGCAAAGGCAGTGCCAGATTTATAAAGGGCAAAAAGGGCAACTACCAAGTTCCCCCTGACAGGAGGGAGCCCCCTCTATGCAAAAAATGCATAACACAATAATAATTTATATATATATATATATATATATTAACAGAGAAATAATAATACAATTATATAAAATATGTAATAAAAAAAAGAATGTATTTTATTAAATTTAAAATCAAATAAAAATTATTAAAATTTTTAAAAACGAACTCATGTAAACCACACATACAGCGCTATGACTGTGTGTGCCCATGTGACGTCAGAATGACGTTGTGTCATGTATTTTAAAAATGTGCCCTGTCACTGAGAATGTAAGCCAACTCTGTGTATGAGGGGGAACCTGAAGTACCCCTGGACACCCAAGGTCTAAATCTGGCTCTGGGAACAGGTAACATTCAGAGAATGTTTTGCATTTTCTGAATGAATGCAAAGCAAGTCTTTGATTGGATGAAGTGAAGAGGCAGGGCAGTGACATCATTCTCTCCACCCTGTCCAATCAGAGAACACTTTGCATTGTTCCAGAAAATGCAAAGCATTCTCTGAATGGCACCTGTACTGAGCGGCTAACCTCCTGTGCTCACAATGCTTCAAGCCAGCCACTCTGCATGGGACCCGTAAGTGAATGGAGATCACTGATGTGTACTTCAGTGATTTCCAGCTTCCAGGGGTATTGGCCAGGTATGGTATATACATAGTTACATTGGTATAGGCTGGACCAATGTAACTATGTATAATATATAAACTGTATATTCACCGCGCAAATGTGATGTTAATATATATAAAACCTAACACCTGAAAAAGTGCACAATAAATCACGCACCTACATTAATAAATGAATATATAAAATGTGTAAGCATGCAGCTGCCCTAATAGTGAACAATCCAATAATCACCTCATAAAACAATGACAAATAAAAGCAGCACAAAAAAAATTATTATAAAAACACAATAGCAAAGTGAAAATATGACACAATATATAACACTTCAATAAATATACACAAATATTTAAATCATTTGACATAAGTCCACCAACTGCAAAATGAAAATTGTGATGAAGTACAAAGTCCTTATTGATCCACCGAGATCACCACGTGAGCATAACGATAATCAGTTGAATAAAATGCACTCAGATATCACCACGTGCTCCAGAGGAAAACCTCCCCCAATTCAGTGGCACTCACCAGATATCGTGGCCCTCACAAACCTGATAGGCAATAGCACTTGTGGTGAGTGTCAGCGTAGTGCAGATCATCAATCAACAATCCCTTCATCAATTAGAGATGATATGATGGTGGGACATCCTCCAGACTATTACACTCTGTAATCAGGGAAAGATGTAAAAGGAAACTCATAGCGTGAATCCATTAAAAACCATTTATTGGGTAGAAAGTATTGTACTCACATGAAATAAATGAAAGCTTGCCAAGATATCCACAATAACCGTAAAGGGTATCTGTATATCACCCTTTGATAAAGTCAGGTGACAAAACGTGTTAGGGTCGAGCCACATGACGTATTCTGTAATGAGGCATCCACCTTATATCCCCCGCCGGAGGTGAAGTATCGCTCGCGAGCAGCGAGGAGGATCGGGTGAGACGCTCGCTTCATGTGATATACAGATACCCTTTACGGTTATTGTGGATATTTTGGCATGCTGTCATTTCTGTCATGTGAGTGCAATACTTTCTATGTTCCCATGTTGAAGGCATGTGGCCTGGAATGGTTCAGGAAGTGGGAGCGCTCATTCATTCCCCCCCGCCTTCCTTCTTGACTTGGTGTGGATTTTAGGGGAGGACCCCACGCCATTTTTTTTAAACTTTGCCATTGTGTTGCCACTTAAATCCTTACCAGACTTGAAGGGCCTGGTATGGATTGGGGGGGGGGGGGGGGGACCCTGTGTTGTTTTTTTTCACAATTTATTTTTACTTTTTAAATTGCCAGCAATAGGTTTGTTTATATTCAGCTGTCAGCAGGAACGCAGCTGACAGCTGACAACTCATCGGTTGTTAAAGTGTTGCTGAACCCCGGACCCTGCATTCACTATATCTGGTCTCCCACAGTACACACAACATGGAAATACAATTATGTTATTATTATTATTATTATACAGTATTTATAAAGCGCCAATAGTTCGCTCAGCGCTGTACATTACAAAGGGGGACAGAACATGTGACAGAACAATACCAATACAATGCAAAACATGAGGGGATTGAGGGCCCTGCTCTTTCGAGCTTACAATCTAGGAGGGAGGGGATGGTGGCACAGGAGGAGATAGCTGTGGGGGATGGAGTGGTATAAAAGTTTGCAAACAAATAACATTTCTTCATAAATTTAGGTAAAAATGTATTCTGCTACATTTCTTTGGTGAAAATCGTGGTTTTTTGGAGGTTGTAATTTTTTGTTACATTTTTTTGGAAAATGTAGAAATTAAAATTTTTTTTTACTATTTTTTTTTCAACACACTGACCAAAGCAATACAATGTTACCATAGCAACACTGAAATATTCTGGGCAAGTGATCAGGATTTTTTTTTTTTTTTTAATTGCTAAAACCAATGTATTTCATTGATATTTGCAATCATTGTTACTGAATGAAACTGATTCATTCAGTCTTTCGTTGTGATTAGGCAAAGCTCATCACAGGATACAGATGGGCTGTGATTGGCCCTGTCTGTACCATGTGACTGGTTTGACCAATCACAGCTAACACCACAATTGTATACAATGGATGGCATGACAGGAAGCCATCCATTGTGTACAATTGACACGTGATCTGCTGTGATTGGTCACATGACACTGGCAACAAGCCAGTGTTGTGATCAGTCACCAGCTGTGTCCTGTGGACACAACCGGTGACAGATGGCTCCGCTGCATGGCTGGCTCCTTTTTACAGGACGTCATATGACGCCCAGTCACAATGAGGACTGTCCCACCCAGCCTATAACAGATTGATGTTAGTAAATATAAACTGCTGAATACCTTTTCTCATCAGCAGTATATAGCAGTCTTGTGACTTCTATCAGTGTCCAGCCAAGCACATATTAAAGCTTGTAGGAGGTGTTTTCATTTAGCTCCAGGAGGATGCAGAGCCCCTGACCTCTGTCTGGACAGTCCTGATTGGCCCTGTGCTGATGACATGCACCCCCCCCCCCCAAAAAAAAAACCTCTCTAGCAATACACACCAAACTGAGCATGTGCAGAGTGACCCCACACAATATGTCTTATCAAGAGATAAGAGGGGGACATTGGAAGAAGGGGAGGATCAGAGAAGTCAGGATCAAAAAGTATTTTTACACATTGCAGAGGATTAACTCCTTAGGTTCCACAGTGAGTATAACAAGCATGCTTTACTGCATATACTGTACAGACTGATTTTACTGTTGCGGGTTTAGTAACACTTTAATTTCACACAAAACACAACATGCAAAATGAAAAATGCATAAAAAAGCATCAAAAACGAAATACTTGCATTTTTTTTTTTAAAGTCTATTACACTCAAAATGCAGGCTGCTGCAAAAAAAAGTCCCTGACCCTTTCAAAGATCTGCACTGGCTCAAAACACACTGATGTGAACTAGATCCATAGGGAATCATGTTAAATGAACACGTGTTTCTGCAAACTGGAAAATGCACTGAAATCCGCATAGGTCTGAACCTAGGGTAAATCAATAAGTCAGTGAAAGTGTAAATAGTCTATCTTGGAGAATGTATCTTGAAATACGTTGTTTTTTTTTTACATTTTACAGGTCAAACATGGATACTCTAAGAGAGTTTGGTGTACATTGGTTGGAAAAACATTATATTATTTTCGCAGTCAAGAAGAAAAGGTAAGAGCAGTAGGAAAAGTGTCAAAAGGATTAATCCATAATGCCAATGAAAGCCAATTTTAAATTGGTGAATACAGAACATATTTATTGAAAACCTTAAAGAAGAGCCCTGGGATAGGCAAAAGAATCACCTATTAGTACACCCCCTACTCAAAACACTAAACAGTTCATAACATTTTGAAAATCCTTACCATTTAGGTGAAAAGTCTAATTGAATTTTCATGACCTCATCTCTATAATTCATAAAGATAACAACATCTGCTCTGCCAAGTTGAAGGTGTAACTGCCGGGATTATCCTCTCTCTGCAGTAAAAGGAAACTACAGTTCCTATCAACCACAGGGAAGTGTAGTACAGGTAGAATATGTCTGAGAGTCTTGGCCTGCCCACCACTGCAAGTGGGGCTGAATTACATCACTGCTACCCAGAGAAAGAAGTATAGAAGTCATGTGCCAAGACCAGTGGCTGGGGAAATAGGCAGCATAGCAGTCACCGGTCTTACAAACAGGAAACCAAAGAGAATTAACAGTTTGATTTGAAAATGAATAGGCTATTAACCCCCCTGGCGGTATTCCCGAGTACCAAAAGCGGTAACCCTGAGCTACACTTGGGATTACACTGCAGCTTTGCTCTGGGATCCCTCGAGCACTTACCTTGTCCTGCGGTCCCGCAATGTCCCCCCTCCTGCAGCGTCCCCATCCATGTCCTCCGGTCGATGCCGGTATCCATCTTCTGGGTTCCGTTCCCTGTGAGCGTCGAGACGTATGGGGGGCGCCACCAGCGGGAATTTAAAAAATTTAAAAATTTGACAAAATGTAAAAATATGAAAAGTCCATGGCGTCCAAAAAAGTGTCCCTTTTGGTCAAAAGCTGTTTTAGACCAGCTCAGGGGCGGACTGATAACTCATGGGGCCCCCGGGCAATAGGGGATCATGGGGCCCCTGTGTCCTTGCCCAAACTCAAAAAAGCCTATGGAAAAAAGGTACCAGGGGCATCTCATGGGGCCCCCTACTGACCCCGGGCCCTCGGGCACTACCCGAGTTTCCAAATGGTCAGTCCGCCCCTGGACCAGCTAGAGAACAGCAATAGTAAATTAGAACCACTTGCAGAATTGAGTGATAATGATTCGTGGGGGAAATTCATCATCAAACACTGAAAACGATTCTGCGACTTTGCTCAGTGATGTGCGAACTTGGCACTCTATTTCAAATTTCAGTGTTTTTGGTTTGAGTACATTATTGAATTAAATGTATTATTATTATTATATTATTATTTTTTATGATTATTTATATATTATAATTTATGATTTCGTGTTTCAAATTTTATCATACCCGGGATGTTTACTAGACTCTTGTTCGTACAGATTTCAGTGAGTTATTCCTAAGAATTACAGGCCGACAATAAACAAACCCACCATATTTCCATTGAAAACAATGTACTGCTTTGAGCACAGAAATACTGACATAATCAGACCGCTAGGGAGGTTAAAGAGCAACTACTGAGCAAACCAGAAGATGGATGATATATTCAGTGAAGGTGGGAAATCAGAAGCAAGGACATGTAAAGACGTTTTTTGCCTTGAGTTCTGCTTTAAAGTGCTTGTAAACCTCAGACATGAAATATGAACAAAGCATATCCCTCTATACTTGTCTCAATCCAGAGCACTAAGTATAATTTCTGTCTGCTGCCTCGTTCAGAGTGTAACTTCAGCTCCCTGCCCCGTTTTCTGAAAGCTCAGACAAGCTTTATAAATTCTGCACTTTGAACAGATGTAGAGAAGACAAGACTGAAGATAAACAGGTACAGCTTATGTAGGAGGATTTGTTTCATCTCTGGTTACCACCTGAAGCTAGTCACTTCACTTGGTATATATAAGAGTTTATGACCACTTTAATTAAGAAGGCTTACCACTAACTTACCCGATGGATATGACCTCCCATAATATTGGCCTGTTTACTTTCTTCCATTGCATTAGCACATGGGCATTAATGCGCATTATGTTACATGTCTGGCATGAGCAAAAAACTACCCTTGTAGTGCCCCCTCCCCCACACACACTCATACACTGAAAGGGTCCATTGCTTATTAAGCCTAGGGGCAGAAGAATCAGGTGTTATACTTACCATATTCCTTGATCTAGGAGGCATCCTCCATCACTGAAATCGGTTCCCCTCAACCTCCCCTCTAGCACAAGATCTGTTAAAAGGACTTAGTTAGGACACTTAAAGCAGAGCTCCAGTCCCCATAACAAATTTATTTTAAAAGCTGACCCGGTATTGTCTATTCTTTAACATTAATAAATGGATATATATCAATATTGTACCACGCTCCAATATATACAACTATGAGTGCTATAATAAATTATAAATGGCTGAAGTGTATCACCAATAATTCAATAATATTCTAAATCCATATTACTTAAATCCATAATTGATATAAATATATAAATAAATTAAAAAAGAATCAATTAATATTTTTAAATGAGTGCAAAAACCTAATAAAAAGTGAAAATATAAACTATGAAAAATAAAATAAAATGAAAAAATGAAAAAAAAATATAGTTCAGTTCATACGAATTGAGATGGTGTTGTAGTTCAATCTAATCTGCGTGGTAAGTCAATGTTCATAACATGAACCTCTCTCTCCTTCCTCCTCTCTCCTTTCTCCTACATACAGAGAAGGGAAAAAGAAAATACAGCCTTCTCATTAAGGACTTTCTCCTCTAGCTGCTTGACTTAATTTCAAAAACTACATCCCCAGAGGAAGCTACGAGTCCCTGTAGCGTAACGCGTAGGGGAGGGGCGGTGACGTCATCACGCATCCACAGAGGAACGGCGAGTATATCGAGTGAAGACACACACACCTGCAAGGCTGTTTGTAGGAGGATTTGGATATATTTTATACAAAGCGCTACTTTTATTTATACCATGTGAGTGGGAGATCAGAAGCTCATTAAACAATTGTTACCCAGGATAAGACACCATGTTTCTTTTTCCCTTCTCTGTATGTATCGGCTATGGAGGATTAAGTCAAGCAGCTAGAGGAGAAAGTCCTTAATGAGAAGGCTGTATTGAGGAGAAAGGAGAGGAGGAAGGAGAGAGAGGTTCATGTTATGAACATTGACTTACCACGCAGATTAGATTGAACTACAACACCATCTCAATTCGTATGAACTGAACTATATTTTTTTTTCATTTTTTCATTTTATTTTATTTTTCATAGTTTATATTTTCACTTTTTATTAGGTTTTTGCACTCATTTAAAAATATTAATTGATTCTTTTTTAATTTATTTATATATTTATATCAATTATGGATTTAAGTAATATGGATTTAGAATATTATTGAATTATTGGTGATACACTTCAGCCATTTATAATTTATTATAGCACTCATAGTTGTATATATTGGAGCGCGGTACAATATTGATATATAAAGCTAACATCCATACACCTGGAGAGGGTGTAATAAGTACCTGGCGATCTAATATCTAGTTAAGCACGTAATCAATTAGTTGTTCACTTATTCATCATTTATAATTATTTTTACACACGGAATTAATTGCTCTAAAAGTAAGAAAACTTCTAGTGGCTCACAAGTATTTAATCAATTTGCATTTTTAAATAAATGGATATAGTTATTTGGTATAGCCTTCTGATTAGTTTTAAATAAGTAAAAGTTTACCTTGATCTTGGAAGCAGGCAGGCGCCATGATGGATGTGGGCATCTGAAGCCCACAAGTCTGTATTTCCTGGAGTTGGTGCTGCTGGCAATCCCAGCATGCACCACTCGATCTCGCGCCTGCGCAGTAATGGCACTGCTCGGCACAATTTCTGGTTTTGAATTGACGCGATAGTCAGCAACTAGGAACCCAAAGGCCGCCTGGGATACAGGACCCGACATCCCAGGAGACATTGCGAATCGCCTTCATACGTCATCACCTAGGCGGCCGGGACCAGAAGTGCAGTCTTTGCACATGATTTAAAGGTATTTACAATATTAAAAAAAAATATATGATTATCCTAATGGTGCTGGACACTACAGGAACAGTGTTAACAGAGGGACATTCCAAAAAGGGTGGAACTCCGCTGTAAGGCTACGTTCACACTAGCCTTGTGTGCAGGCGGCAGAGAGGCGTTTGGGAAGCGTTTTTACCGCTTCCCAAACGCCTCTGCCAATTCTGGACATTACAGCACATGGTGCTGTTCTAACAGGAGCGTTTGCGTCGCGTCGCGTTGCGTCGCGGCAAAACGGACGCCTCTGGTCGAGTCAGGAGGCTTTGAAGCCTCCTATTCTCGTCTATGGTGCCGCTCCGCAAACGCCCGGCCGGCGTTTGCGGTGCGGTTGCGACGCGGTTGCGGGGTGTTTGCGGAGCGGTAACACCACTCAAATGCATTATAGGCGTTTGTGGGGCGTTATTAACGCTCGGCAAACGGCTAGCAACCGCCGCTAAACCGCGCATGCGGCGTTTGCGGAGCGTTTGCCGAGCGTTAAAAACGCTCCGCAAACACCGGACCAACGCTTGCCAAACGCTATAGGGGCGTTTGGCAAGCGTTGGCAAAACAGCCTAGTGTGAACGAGCACTAAGTAACAGGTCGAGGACAGTTGTTCTACGTATTTAATGGGCTATATTGATGACCAGCATATAGATATTATGAATACATTCTGATATTTCATTCAGTTTCCGCTGGGCCAAATCAAGCTCTGGGAAGCTAAAATAGAAGAAGTAGATCGAACCTGTGATTCTGATGAGGACTATGAAACCAGCAGACGCAGCCTCCTGTCTTCCCATTACACCATTGTTATCCATCCCAAAGAGCAGGACCCCACATACCTTCTTATCGGATCCAAACATGAGAAGGTAAGAGCATGGGTACCAATGTCTGTTTTTTTTTTTCTCAATGTAGCCTGAGTGTAAAAATGCAAACTGTACGCTGACATGCACAAGCGGGGCCAGGGCCCTTATGGCTGCTGCATATCATAAGCTTATGCAGAGTATTACTTTTCTGCCAAATGGCATAGTGAAACCTGAAAGGTGCTAATTACAGCCCTGACCAAAAATTTTGAGAATGACACAAATATTATTTATTTCAGGTACTTATATAGTACCATCAATTTTACACAGCGCTTTACACATATATATTGTACATTCACATCAGTCCCTAACCCTCAAGGGGTGTACAATCTAAGGTCCCTAACTTACGTTCATACATATACATATTAGGGACAATTTAGACAGGCTCCAATTAACCTACCAGCATGTCTTTGGAGTGTGGGAGGAAACCAGAGTACCTGGAGGAAACCCACACAGGCACAGGGAGACAACATGCAAACTCCAGGCAGGTGGTGCCATGGCTGGGATTTGAACCAATGACCCTAGTGCTGCCAGGTGGAAGGGCTAACCATTTAGCCACTGTGCTGCCCCATATTAACACAAAGTCTGCTGTGTCAGTGTTTTTAGATCTTTTTGTCAGATGTTACTATGGTATACTGAAGTATAATTACAAGCATTTCGGAAGTGTCAAAGGCTTTTATTGACTATTACATTAAGTTTATGCAGAGTCAATGTTAGCAGTGTTGACCCTTCTTTCTCTAGACCTCTGTAGTTCGCCCTGGCATGCTGTCAATCAAATCGTGTGCTACATCCTGATTGATGGCAGCCCATTCTTGCATAATCAATGCTTGGTGTTTGTCAGAATTTGTGGAAGGGGGGGGGTTGTTCACCTGCCTCTTGAAGATTGACCACAAGTTCTCAATGGGATTAAGGTCTGGGGAGTTTCCTGGCCATGGACCCAAAATTTCAATGTCTTGTTCCCCAAGCCACTTAGTTTATCACTTTTGCCTTATGGCAAGGTGCTCCATCATGCTGGAAAAGGCATTGTTCGTCACCAAACTGTTCCTGGATGGTTGGGAGAAGTTGCTCTTGGAGGATGTTTTTGTACCATTCTTTATTCATGGCTGTGTTCTTAGGCAAAATTGTGAGTGAGCCCACTCCCTTGGCCAAGAAGCAACCCCACACATGAATGGTCTCAGGATGCTTTACTGTTGGCATGAGATAGGACTGATGGTAGTGCTCACCTTTTCTTCTCCGGACAAGGTTTTTTCCAGATGCCCCAAATAATCAGAAAGGGGATTCATCAGAGAAAATGACTTTACCTCAGCCGTCAGCAGTCCAATCCCTGTACCTTTTACAGAATAGCAGTCAGTCCCTGATATTTTTTCTGGAGAGAAGTGGCTTTTTTTGTTCCTTCTTGACACCAGGCCATCCTCCAAAAGTCTTCACCTCACTGTGCATTCAGATTCACTCACACCTGCCTGCTGCCATTCCTGAGCAAGCTCTGTACTGGTGGTGTCCCGATCCCGCAGCTTAAACAACATTATTAAACAGTCCTGGCGTTTGCTGGATTTTCATGGGCGCTCTGAAGCGTTCTTCACAACATTGAACCTCTCTCCTTGAAGTTCTTGATGACTCAGTAAATAGTTGAATTATGTGCAATCTTAGTAGCAGCAATATCCTTGCATGTGAATCCCATTTTGTGCAAAGCAATGATGATTGCATGTGTTTCCTTGCAGGTAAATTATTATTTGTGTCATTCTCAAAACGTTTGGCCAGGGCTGTATATATAAAGTTGAAATTAAACATGATAATGTGAGGCACAGGTGTACAGAAATATGTTATACTTGTAACATCTATGGGTTATAATTGTTTTGGGGTGTGTTTTAGGATACCTGGCACTATCACTTAACCATGGCAGCTGGAGTGATGGGAGCGAGTGTGGGCACAGAGTTTGAGCAGTTGGTGTGCAAACTGCTAAGTCTGGATGGTGACTCCTGTAAGTATTTTGGTTCTCATGATTCAAACTGCTAACTCTGACCTACAAAGCCATTCACAATGCCGCCCCAAACTACATAACTGACCTGATACCCAAATACTACCCTACCCGTGCCCTCCGCTCCTCACAGAACCTCCTACTCTCTAGCTCCCTGGTCTCCTCCTCCCACACCCGATTACAGGACTTCTCCAGGACTTCCCCCATCCTCTGGAACTCCCTACCCCAATCCATCAGACTGTCGCCTACCCTTCTCACCTTCAGGCGCACCCTGAAAACCCTCCTCTTCAGGGAAGCCTACCCCAACCTCAGCTAACACCCGACCTCACCTAACAACTAACCTCCTCCACTCCTCCCGCCACTCCATCCCCCACAGCCATCTCCTCCTGTGCCACCTTCTCCTCCCTCCTAGATTGTAAGCTCGAAAGAGCAGGGCCCTCGAACCCCTCGTGTGTTGTATTGTTACTGTCTTGTCTCATGTTCTGTCCCCCTTGCTACTGTACAGCGCTGAGCATACCCTTTGGTGCTATATAAATACTGTATTATAATAATAAATAATAATAATAATGATAGCTTTTCTGCATTGAGGCAGTGACCATATGAGGATAGTGTATTCACATAAGATATGGGGATATGTTAACATAGCTGGGACTTTTCGACTCACGCTGGTGGCCCCATTCAGAAAATTTTTATTCTGATTCAGTGTTTTTTTTTGTGGGTGAATTTGTGTATATATGGGATATTCTGATGAAAGAAATCTACAGTTGGTGCTTATAGAATGTGTAATTTACTGTATGGAATAAAGACGTGGATCCTAAGGAAGCAAATTCTTTGTGAAACGATCATGGCACATATAAAGTCCCGTTTACCTTTTCCCTGCTTTGATTGGGAACAAGAGGGGTGTCTGTTCTAATTTTTTTAAAGACATCATACCTTAGTATGCCACTGCTGAAGTACTAATCTGTAATTATTTTTCCAAGTTCCAGTTTCCCAGCTTTATAACTGTAGCAATACTAGGTGATTTAGTGTTATCGCACGCTACCAAATAAAATGAATTTAATCACAACAAACTCACTCTTGTTAAAGAGTGCTATTATCAATAATGGGTAGCTGCAAACAAATTATAGTGTCTCCTGGGTGGCTTGTGGGCATATACTGATTTGTTTGACATATTATATTTTTCACTTCCAATTAAATAAAACTGCTTTTTGTAGCCTTAGAGGTGCCTTATCCTTGTGGTGTTTGTTTTGATATGGTATTTTTTGGATGTACCTCCCCAAAGTGGGGTCTGGCACTAGCAGGAATACCACTCCCAGGACTCGGGTTTTGTGGGTTTTGTATATAAATCATAGTGTTCCCGCAATCCAACAAAATGCTAAATTAAATTAAATTTTGTTGCGCCTTCTCTAATAATTAAATCCAGTGACTAATAAATACCAAAATTCCATAGTATGGAACAAATTCATAAATCTAAACCACAAACAATACATATGTAAAATGTATTTGTAATATATATATATATATATATATATATATATATATATATATAAAGTCCAAGTTCATAAATTGTAGAAATCTACAAACAGTATTCTTTCTTGCAGTGAATTTAAAACAAACTCCACCATATGTGTTAATATTCCTTAATCCATGCACAGTGATTCCTATCACCATTCAAATATGTGCTCACCATCAGATTTGACCTGTGTGCAACCAGGTCAGAAATGCTTTCCCCACACTGGGGTGATTCCCTTTAAATGTTCAGGTTCTGTTTTACAATCAAGCTCATGCAACAAAGGATATCCCCATGGTGTAGAAGATTAGTAACGCGGTTTTATTTAAATAGTGATGCACTTATATTTAATAAATATAATGACAGACAGTGGGGCCGTGGTTCCTGCCTCACTTCCAATCTTGGGACTCGTCACCTGGCTCTGCCCAACACGTGTCGTCACGGTCACATGACCTCTTCACGGGTGAAGAAAGCAAATCCTGAGGAAGTCAAGTGACAGTGATGACCAGTCACATCTGATGGTGAGCACATATTTGAATGGTGTAGAAGTCACTGTGCATGGATTAAGGAATATTAACATGTATGGAGTTTGTTTTAAGTTCACCGCAAGAAAGAATACTGTTTGAAGATTTCTACACTTTATGAACTTGGACTTTTTATATATATATTTTTTATTTTACATAAATATATATTTATTTTTTGTGGTTTACATTTATTAATATTGTACCATACTATGGAATTTTGGTATTTATTAGTCACTGGATTTAATTATTAGGGAAGGCACAACAAAACGTTATTTAATTTAGCATAACTGTAGCAATCTTTAGTGATCCTCTGCAACTTATTTCTCTGTCATCAAAATGCCCAGAGCCTAGAGGGAGTGCTGACTTTTCCTTTTGCAATGTGACAATGTACAGGCCCAGCAATTGGCCATTTGGGCTGAGCACTGCATCATGGGAAGATGCTTACAAATTACTGGTTGCACTGACACGAGCGATAAGAAATAGGCACTTAATAATTGTACTTATAGATATTGGCAAGCATTAAGGTGCCCTCAGTGTGCATAGCATGTTTACCCCACCTGAGCAATGGAGGAGAAAGACCAACTGAAGATGCTCAAAGACCCACAGAGATCCTCCTTATAAGCCCACCTATTCCCAACTCATTATTTTGTGTAGGGTTCTCCAGCATCCTCATTTGTCCTTTTTTCTCCAACTCTGGGTTCGGTCCACCTTGTTGTGCACCCATAAGTCTACCACTGTCTGATTTCCTGTAAGTGCTACTTTTAAAGTGTTCACATAAAAGGACCATTTTTGGTGGAATGGTGATGGGTTAGATGCTTTGTTGAACACTTTTTTCTGTCTGTATCCATTATGGAGGGATTTCTTATTTGCAAATAAGGACTGTAGTGGTAGTGGTGGTAAGTCAAACCCTGACAGAGGGCTTTTAGTATTTCAGTACTGTTTCTTGCTCTTTTCTAAGTGCTTTTGAGCAACCTTTTTTTTTTTATTTTTCATCCCATGAATTTCCTCCTGTCTACCCCAAGGTCAGCTATGAGTTCCACGCCTTATGTAAACTGGCTGTTATTGTTTCCTTATGTAGGTACCCAGGTTTGGAGACATCCAGCATTATGTCACAGCAAAGAAGCCATAACATCACCTCTTACTACATTACCGTCAGAAGCACTGCAGACAGAGGCTATCAAATTATTTAAGGTGAAAACCTTGACACTATTTTTCATTATACTCATGTTTTTTGTGGAATAAATAATGAGATGAACTATTGGGGTTTTTGTGGAGGCAAAATATGAAAACACTGCCACAGAGAGATAAAATAAGTCACAAATATGTCTTTTAGGGCCATAATAGTATGGCAATGTAGCTATTGCCCCTATATGCATCAAAGCCAGTAAAGCTTCGAAAAGCTTTTGTCACTGCCTGTCACCTTGCCATGAGAGAAACCTCAAAGCTGTTATTGTTAACATCTGAAAATGCCAGTTGCCTTGCTGTCTAGCCACACGGACACTGACGTTATTTACTAAAGCTGGAGAGGGCAAACTCATTCTCACATCTGCATTGAAACCAATCAGCTTCTAACCTCAGCTTGTTTAATTAAGCTTTGGCAACAAAACCTTGAAGCTGATTGGTTTCTATGCAAAAGTGAGCCTGGTTTTGTACTCTCCAGCTTTAGTAAGTAAAACCCCTAAGTGTCATTCATTCTAGGGCTGCGTGGATCAGTCACGACAATATGAAGAATTGTGCCAGGACAGACTATTATGCTGGTACAGATACCCCTATGGTTTTGTGAATATCTATGGTAGCGCTTCCCCTATTATCCAGTGTGTACAGTTATGATGACTGTGAACCTTTGACTTCATTTGACCTTCTGGAGTAGCCAAAGGTTTTAATTAGCCATTGCCAACCAGGGTTCCATAGAACCCTAGAGGTCCCCCAGAGGTTGGTAGGTGTTCCTTAAACTGTAGATGATTTACCTCTTATCTGATAGTGCCTGCATAATTCAAGGTTCAATGCCACTTGGCAGATCTTTTTAGCTTTCTGTAAGGGAGGCATTCTTCCCACTGACTACCAATGTAAGGAGCATTCTTCCTACTCACCCCCAATGTAACAAGCATTCTTCCCACTCACCCCCAATGTAACAAGCATTCTTCCCACTGACCACCAAAGTAAGGGACATTCTTCTCACTGAACACCAATATAAGGGGCATTCTTCCCACTGAACACCAATGTAAGGAGCATTCTTTCCACTCACCACCAATGTAAGGGGCATTCTTCCCACTGATCACCAATGTAAGGAGCATTCTTCCCACTGACCACCAATGTTAGGGGCATTCTTCTCACTGAACACCAATGTAAGGGGGCATTCTTCCCACTGACCACCAAAGTAAGGGACATTCTTCTCACTGAACACCAATGTAAGGGGCATTCTTCCCACTGAACACCAATGTAAGGAGCATTCTTTCCACTCACCACCAATGTAAGGGGCATTCTTCCCACTGACCACCAATGTAAAGAGCATTCTTCACTCCCACTGACCACCAATGTAAGGAGCATTCTTTCCACTCACCACCAATGTAAGGGGCATTCTTCCCACTGACCACCAATGTAAGGAGCATTCTTCCCACTCACCACCAATGTAAGGGCATTCTTCCCACTCACCACCAATGTAAGGGGCATTCTTCCCACTCACCACCAATGTAAGGGGCGTTCTTCCCACTCACCACCAATGTAAGGAGCATTCTTTTCTTCACCAAAGTAAGGGACATTCTTCCCACTCACCACCAATGTAACGAGCATTCTTCTCACTGATCACCAAAGTAAGGGACATTATTCTCACTGATCACCAATGTAAGGGACATTCTTCTCATTTAACACCAATGTAAGGGGCATTCTTCCCACTGAACACCAATGTAAGGGACATTTTTCCCACTGACCACCAATGTAAGGGGAATCCTTCCAACTGAATACCAATATAAGGGACATTCTTCCCACTGACCACCAATGTAAGGGGCATTCTTCTCACTGGACACCAATGTAAGGGGCATTCTTCCCACTGACCACCAATGTAATGGGCATTCTTCCCACTGGACACCAACGTAAGGGGCATTCTTCTTACTGGACACCAATGTAAGGGGCATTCTTCCCACTCACCATCAATGTAAGGGGCATTATTCCCACTAACCACCAATGTAACAAGCATTCTTCCCACTGATCACTAAAGTAAGGGACATTCTTCTCACTGAACACCAATGTAAAGGGCATTCTTCCCACTGACCACCAATGTAAGGGGAATTCTTCCCATTGAATACCAATGTAAGGGACATTCTTCCCACTGAACACCAATGTAAGGGGCATTCTTCCCACTGAACACCACATGTAAGGGACATTCTTCCCACTGAACACCAATGTAAGGGGCATTCTTCTCACTGAACACCAATGTAAGGGGCATTCTTCTCGCTGAACACCAATGTAAGGGACATTCTTCCCACTGAACACCAATGTAAGGGGAATTCTTCCCACTGAATACCAATGTAAGGGACATTCTTCCACTGACCTCCAATGTAAGGGACATTCTTCCCACTGACCACCAATAAATTAATTTTATTATTAATGTTATTATTAATACTATTAAAAATAATAAAATTATTTCAAGGGTTCCTCTGGGGTAAAATAATATTCTGATATACAGTAAACAAATAAACAGTTAAATCTAAAATCCCAGAAAAAAACACAAATCAATGCAGCTCTTTATGCTTTGATGCATCATTAAATGTAATTTTAAGGCAACTAGTGTAAGTACTTGAATTAGATCTGGTATCAGCCTCTTGCAATTTCCTGTACAGCAGATCTAAGACTGGGAGAGGTAGAAGCACTCAAGGAGTCAGCCATTTAGAAATACTATCTAAGTTTAAACCTGCTCCCAACCCCCATTCTAAGCCTGATACTATCTTGTAAAGTAAAGATGTGTACACTTATCTTTTCTACGGGTGCTCTAGTCCACTCACATGATCATCTCCCAGTGTCGGCTTCAGGTGAGAGGATGGACAGCGGACAGCTGAATGCTGGGGAGATCACATGACACATCTTTCTTTTACAGCAGTGGTTCTCAACCTTTCTAATGCCGCGACCCCTTAATACAGTTCCTCATGTTGTGGTGACCCCCAACCATAAAAATTATTTTCGTTGCTACTTCATAACTGTAATTTTGCAGTGGGAGGAGTAGTGCCCCATCACTGATGTCAGTGGGATGAATAGTGCCCCATCGTTGGTATCAGTGGGAGGAATAGTGCCCCATCGTTGGTATCAGTGGGAGGAATAGTGCCCCATCACTGATGTCAGTGGGATGAATAGTGCCCCATCACTGGTGTCAGTGGGAGGAATAGTGCCCCATCACTGGTGTCAGTGGGAGGAATAGTGCCCCATCACTGGTGTCAGTGGGAGGAATAGTGCCCCATCACTGATGTCAGTGGGATGCATAGTGCCCCATCGTTGGTATCAGTGGGAGGAATAGTGCCCCATCACTGATGTCAGTGGGATGAATAGTGCCCCATCACTGGTGTCAGTGGGAGGAATAGTGCCCCATCACTGGTGTCAGTGGGAGGAATAGTGCCCCATCACTGGTGTCAGTGGGAGGAATAGTGCCCCATCACTGGTGTCAGTGGGAGGAATAGTGCCCCATCGTTGGTGTCAGTGGGAGGAATAGTGCCCCATCGTTGGTGTCAGTGGGAGGAATAGTGCCCCATCGTTGGTATCAGTGGGAGGAATAGTGCCCCATCGTTGGTATCAGTGGGAGGAATAGTGCTCCATGTTGTATCAGTGGGAGGAATAGTGCCCCATCGTTGGTGTCAGTGGGAGGAATAGTGCCCCATCGTTGTGTCAGTGGGAGGAATAGTGCCCCATCGTTGGTGTCAGTGGGAGGAATAGTGCCCCATCGTTGGTGTCAGTGGGAGGAATAGTGCCCCATCGTTGGTGTCAGTGGGAGGAATAGTGCCCCATCATTGGTGTCAGTGGGAGGAATAGTGCCCCATCATTGGTGTCAGTGGAGGAGTAGTGCCCCATCATTGGTGTCAGTGGGGGAATAGTGCCCCATCATTGGTGTCAGTGGGAGGAATAGTGCTCCATAGCTGGTGTCAGTGGGGGGAGTAGTGCCCCATCGTTGGTGTCAGTGGGAGTAGTAGTGCTCCATCACTGGTGTCAGTGGGAGGAATAGTGCCACATCATTGGTGTCAGTGGAGGAATAGTGCCCCATCATTGGTGTCAGTGGGGGGAGTAGTGCCCCATCATTGGTGTCAGTGGGGGGAGTAGTGCCCCATCATTGGTGTCAGTGGGAGGAATAGTGCCCCATCACTGGTGTCAGTGGGGGGAGTAGTGCCCCATCACTGGTGTCAGTGGGATAGTGCCCCATCACTGGTGTCAGTGGGAGGAATAGTGCCACATCATTGGTGTCAGTGGGAGCAATAGTGCCCCATCATTGGTGTCAGTGGAAGGAATAGTGCCCCATCATTGATGTCAGTGTGGTGGAGGGGAGAATAGTGCCCCATCATTGGGGTCAGGGGGGGGGGAAATAGTGTCTCCCATCGTTGGTGTCAGTGGGGGGAGGAATAGTGCCCCATCATTGGTGTCAGTGGGGGGAGGAATAGTGCCCCATCGTTGGTGTCAGTGGAGGGAGGAATAGTGCCCCATCCATTGGTGTCAGTGGGGGAGGAATAGTGCCACATCGTTGGTGTCAGTGGGGGGAGGAATAGTGCCCCATCGTTGGTGTCAGTGGGGGGAAGAATAGTGCCCCATCGTTGGTGTCAGTGGGGGAGGAATAGTGCCCCATCGTTGGTGTCAGTGGGGGGAGGAATAGTGCCCCATCGTTGGTCTCACTGGACACCAATGTAAGGGGCATTCTTCCCACTGACCACCAATGTAATGGGCATTCTTCCCACTGGACACCAACGTAAGGGGCATTCTTCTTACTGGACACCAATGTAAGGGGCATTCTTCCCACTCACCATCAATGTAAGGGGCATTATTCTCACTAACCACCAATGTAACAAGCATTCTTCCATCTGATCACCCCAAGTAAGGGACATTCTTCTCACTGAACACCAATGTAAAGGGCATTCTTCCCACTGACCACCAATGTAAGGGGACATTCTTCCCACTGAACACCAATGTAAGGGCATTCTTCCCACTGAACACCAATGTAAGGG